GTGTATAGTAACGCCGGGACTTGTGTAGCAAAATGTGTATCATGTCATGAGTTCAGTGTTTCGTGACATTCCAAAATGTCCTTCATACTTTAAAGTCAGTCGAAGATGGAGGAAAATATCACACGAATCTCGTATTAGAAAAGCTAGTTGATCCTAGCATGTATTCATTGGCCATGTACTGTTAGACATGTGTCTGTCAAGCACCTGCAATGACGGACAGATATGTCGTTAAGGCCGTCATTTCTGCAAGCGACGTTGACGCATCATGTAGATCTGTACCACCACACATGTAGTACGTGACAACCTGTCATGGCGGGAATTTCCTTTCTGGGCGCAATGACTTGGGTAACCCCCGAGTTGAGCTTCTTTAAGGTTTTGATGAAAGTTGCCCCCTGCCGCTAACGTTCAGTTTTTTTCTGAATCCAAGAAGTATCGAGACATCCCTTTCAAAATGTTTTTGTATATCTTCTTTAAAGGAGGGATTATTATGAGTTATTATTACACAAGTTATAAGTCAAGGTTGAGCAGTAGTTTGTAGGTCAGTTAAACTCGGCACATGTTCAGGCGCCAACTGATAGACTTTGGGGTGACCGCACCATGAGGTCAATGTTACACTGATTGTTCTTAAAGTAGAATTGTGTCAGTTTTATATCATGCCATTTTATTTGCGACCCAACATTCGGGAAACAACAACTGCACATGAATAAAAAACATTATGAATTACTACGTTTGTTGAGGGCACTATGGGGCACGGGTGGCCCAGTCGTCTAAGGCGCCCCAGAGAAACCTATGGACGTGGGTTCGAATCCTGGTTTGACCTGACTATGTTTCTGGGCTTGTCAGCACCATACCCGTGCTAGTGGGTTCCACCAAAGGGGTAAACGTCTGAGACCTGCATCACTTCGAGCTAGCCTTTTACATTAAGCTGACACGCTGTGATATTTCTGGAATACTGTTCAAAGCGGCGTTAAACCCAACTCACACACTCACTCGTTCGCTCACTCCAAATAAGTATTTATGTCAAACACTTTACACTACAACATCAAAAAGCAAACATTTTGAAATAACATAACTAGTACTTATTTTAAAGGTCACATTTATCAATAGGTTAGGTGAAATGGGGTTTAATGTCGCGTCCAAGATTATTGCACTTATATAGCATATACATGTGTGTGTTTCTGTGGCTGCTTGTACTAGTCCGGACTAATGCCGTTTTATAGTGCTAGCTCACTGAGATACCATGCCGCAGTTTAACATGAATATCCCACTCAAACACAGTAAACTGACTCCGAGCCGACCAGTCCTTGTTTTAGCCCCTTAATGCCGAGCGCCAGACAGGGTAACAACAAGTACCATCTTTAAACGTCTTGGTATGACGCGGCCTGTGATCGAACCCCGGGCGGACGCTCTACCACTAGACCACGGAGGCGGTCCATTTATCAATAAGGTCATACTAAAGTAATATTTACATCCTAATTCAAGAAGTGTCAGGAGGTTTAGTGTCCTTCTTTTGAAGTCAAGGTCCCTGAATTTGGTTTGTAAAGTATCGTGTCTGTCAGGGTACTTTACCTCGCTCTGAACTTATATTTAAACTCAATCTTACCTTCCTAGTGGTAAACGACAAATGACAATGAACTAAAGTGTGAACACCTTCACTTGAACTTTTTTTCACCATCCAAATATATTTCTCCGGTGACGGTATGCCGACGTCTTGATTGGAAGTTTATACAAATTGTTTTGATTGAATCTAATTAAGCTGTTGATTTGATATATGAAATGTGCTCTGGGGTTTCTCAATCTCAAACTGCAGTAGGTAACTAATATAGTTAGATAGCTTTGCTCTGGTAAATCTGATGATTAATGTCTACCATACTTGGGCGAATGCAATGGTCATCGTCATAAATGTCTCTATATTAATACGTGCATTCATATTTCAGATATCCGATTAAATGCATCATAGATTATATTATGTTTGAATATTTTTTATATGTGTAATCCAATTGAAACATACAAGGACTATATCATCAGTCGGTCTCTCAAAGAACGAATATTCAAAGGAAATTGCGTTATGATTTAATAAAGAAATTCTGTTGACCCCACACAATGCCTGCTACAGCGTTTCCAGAGAACTGAGAAATGAGTTAACCACAAGAGTCACGCCTACCTCTCCCATTAGCTTTGATTTATGCTGATCTGGCAAGTTTGTTTCCCAATTTACACCTTTCAGTTACACATAAAGGAATGCGTCAACTGATTCGAGTCAGATTAATCATGAAAATATCGACTTTATCTCATAGCTCCCCACAGTGTGATAGGAACACCGTGATTAAGAATCTTTACTGTGTTGAGTCAATATGGTGAACTTATCATATCTTCAACAGGGCTGATATAGGGTGTCGGGGAAAACCATCTGATAAGAAGGAAAGCAACATTTGACAGCGGTTATATTTATTACTGTAGAAAGTTGTTTCTTAGAAGAAATTCGAAATTTCAGAAATCTTAGAATGTCATTTCGTGATGTAATCGAGAGTGTACTGGGTCACCTATCCAGAACATGACCTAAGTTGTTTCCCTTCCTTTGCTGTCTGGTTGGATTTTGTTTATGGTGAAGTCAGAGACAGAACAGCAATAAACATACATTTGGGGCGTGGTTTTGAAATTTGTAGTTGACACGAAATGTCAGCGAGGGTAAAATAATTATTCTTTGAGCAAATTCAAATGCACTGTCTGGTTTGTGGTTTGTTTCTTGCTGTTGTCGTGTATCGTTTTCGACATTTCAAACCAAAAACTTCTTAAAAACAGATCACTTTAGATAGAATAGGGTTTATTGTTTTGCCAGTAATAGATGAAGTGTAAGCTATTTCAAGTTTTTATAATCTATCTGTTTGGTGTTGTCAGTTTGACACTTAATATAGGCGTAACAAGATGTACAACATATTATTTGTATGTAAGTAAATATGAAACGCCAATGCTTGAGGCTAACAAGTCCCCAAAACAGATTTCATTGGGCGCAAAAGGCAAAACAGTGGGAACATGTTCTGATGGATCACTGAAAATCAGTGATGCGAGGTGTTCGCGAAAATGGTAAGCATGTCCTGTCCCACATAAGTACAAATAGACATCAAGACTTGGATTGTGACCCGCCACAAACGTAGTGATTTATTGTTGTTATAAATAATGTGCAATTGTTGTTTCTCCCATAGTTGTGTTGAGTCAACCAGTAGTATTAGAGAAAACGTGGTGATGTAATTGACATGTTTCCATGGCCTGTGGGCGCCTGTGGTCGCCTGTTCCCCAGTATTTTCGTGCCACCAAGTAAACGATCTAAGTGATTGAAATAGAAAATATTTAAAAAAGAACCTTATCTTAGTATAACATACAAGGGATGATGAATGAAGGGACCATTACTTGTGACCATTACTTGTCGTTAATGTATAACTAATATCAAAGTATATCCTGCAAGACTGCTGTTTTTGACAGCCTCTTTATAAATACACTATCACAATCCGTGCAGCTGATGTAGAATGCTGCTTTCCACTCATTCAAACCAGGGGAAAAAATACTGACATACTGAATCAACACTTCATATCACACTGATGAATGTGGCAAGTAGCATATGTCAAACTAGTTGCACAGAAAACAGTTTATTTATTGTGGTAAGCAAGTAGTATCTCTTTGTTAGTGGAAGTGTATATGATTAGAGTGTAGGGGTTATGTTTGTGTGGTGTCAATGTGTCAGATAGGCACACAAGTCATGTGTGTTTAGCTATGTGGTTGCCATCCTGTATGTTACCTTGTCAAAGTAAGGGAACAACTGCACAATGGTTTGTGTTTTTATTGCTGATCGACTGGGTCAGTGTACAGGTAGTTACAGTGTGCACTGTTCAGCAGGCATTGTATATCAAAGGATAGTGTAGACATGTAGCTGATAATTACAGGGATAGAAATGTATTTTTTCTAGTGTGCCATAGGGCACTCGTAAAGATATTTAGGTGTGCCCTTTAGAATTTAGGTGTGCCAACTGGAAGAATAATTTGGATCCATCATGGTCATTTCACAAAAGCTCCATAAAAGTTGTTTTAATTTGAAAGTTCATTCCCGTGTTTTACATTGAGTTTGATAATGTTTTTTTTTCATTTCTGAATACACATATGTATTTTGTGAATCACATGGTGCATTAATGCTCACATGTTTATCATTTTCCATGTGTGTCACGTTTTAATATGCAGGTTTCATATAATAACTAATGTCACAAGGTATTGTTAGAATATGATTTCTAAGTGTGCTCTTCAGGCATCAGGAACTTATGTTAACCAAGACATCCACACTAAAATACCAGGAATTGTGACCCCCCCTCCAAAAAAAAGCAACATAAACCACAAACAAATCTTGTGTAATGGTGTTCATTCATTGCTTCATTTCTTTTGGGCTATTCCATTCTAAATGGGGGCGGTCGGGTAGCCGAGTGGTTAAAGCATTCGCATCACCCCGAGGACCTGGGTTCGATGTATTGCGTGAATATTGCTAAAAGGGGCGTAAAACCAAACTCACTCACTCCATTTTAAATGTGACAGATGCAAGTTTAACTATTCTATGGCACTTACATTTTAAATAAATCTATTTCCCAAGATATGTTGTTGGTGTTAGTGTAGGTCTTAGACATTACAATAAATGTCCTATGTGAATCAGAGACATTGTCTACACATTATAATGGTAATCATTAACTATTATACAATAGTGCATCATAAAATTTGAATTAGAATACATACACACACAGTTGATGTTTAATGACCAAAATGAGATCTGCATGAGACCTTCAATTCCCCTGAGCTGATTGTCCCTGTATGTTATGCTCACTGTAGTATCTGATGCTCTTCTGAAACCTGCATCAAGTCGGGCTTTCCTCCCACATTCAGCTGACATACAGTGATATAACTGGAATACTGACCAAAGCAGCGTTAAACCCAACTCACCCACTCACCCTTATGCTCTTGTTTCAGATGGGATTTGTACACAGCAATGGAGAGGAGTATTTCATTGAGCCTGTGAAAGGCCACAACAGTAGCCACAGCCCTGAGCACCCACACATTATATACAAGAGATCAGCATTGCCTGCCAGGCTGGATATTGCCAAGGCCCATGATCAGGACAAGGAACATCAGTCAGAACAAGCTTGTGGAGTTTCAGGTAGGAACAGGTATTTGATTCTTTTGTTCTGTAGAATAGCTGATAGTGTGTCCTGGCTGGTGGCACTGGTGGGAGTGTGCCAGAATGTGCAGGATATGCCACAGCATGCCAGAATGTGCCAGAACGTGCAAAAATATGCCAGCATATAGCAGTGTGCCAAAATATGCCAGAATGTGCAAGAGTGTACAGGAGTGTGCCAGAATGTGCTGGTATGTGCCGGAATGTGCCAAAATATGCCAGAGTGTGCCAGAATGTGCCAGTATGTGCAAGTGTGTGCAGGTTCAAGCTGGGAATTGTACAGCTAGTGTACACAATAGTTCAGGCATGGAGTGCCAAGACTTCACATTTTGTTCCAAAGTGATGATGGAATTGAACCAAGGGTTGAACTCTGGATGAAGGAACACATTTAACATGGCATTACATCCATACCAGAACTCAGAAAAATCATGGGTTTCCATCTCAGTTGTGATTATGATCCTTGGTTTGTCAGCATGAATCACATGTTCACTAAGTGTACAGCCTGCATCAGTGTCAGCTATCCTCCTACAGTAAGCTGACATGTCATGACATAACTGAAATACTGTCGAAAGTTGTTCTATGTCCACTCCTTCAATTAGACTACATTCTGTTGAGACTGAAGTCATTTCACTTAACTTCAAGTAAATAGGGAATTTAGATGATCGTAACATTTTCTCCAAGTTGATTTCATGACAAAGATAAATTGCTAAGTATTGTGGTGGTTAGATGTAGTGTTATAAAATTATATGAAGTAAATATTCATAATTTGAATGAAGAATCCAAAGAAAATCATTTTTGCAAAATATTACTCATCTTCCTGAGGCAAGGGTATTAACAGACTGGACTTCTATAGTCAGTTAGTGCCCTTGCCTCAGGAAGATGAATAGTACTAGGTCTGAATTGTTAGTAATTCCAAACTTTGACAATATGAATGAAAGTTTTTTATCATTAGTCAAGTTCTAGGTGTAGGATGCACTGTAAGGCTAAACAGGATGTGTAAGCATGTTTGAGCATTAATCTTGCAACAGTTTTGTACCAGCTGAACAGCAAATTAAGGCACCAGGCCTGTCACTCTGGATTATGTTTTCACCAAAGCATGATAAGACTTGATAAAAAGGCAGTTGTGGTGAGCATGTTGATTGCAATTTAATGAAGTGATACAAGGCAGTGCTGAACATATTGATGACAAGACATGTCTGTTAACACCAGGACTGTATTTGAGTTTTTTGTGGGTATCATCTCTGGGGTTTTATCAAGTTTTCTGTGGTATGTTTTATCTGTGAAGACAAATCCTATGAGGAAATTTATATACCGCAGTGACCTAAGTATTTATTCATTTAACATCCATTAGTTGTTATCTCAAATTATGGCTGTGTATTTCTCAAGGGGAATAAAGAGATAGGTTTCTTAACATTTTATGCACACTTCAAAATACATTAAGAGTAAGGGAAATCTAAGTGCAATAGAACATAGTGCAAAAGTTACACTATTAATTATACACTATTAATTATACTCTATTATAACTTATATTATAGAATTACCAGCCCTGTAAAATGGGGTTAATGACAGCAGTGGATATCCTCCAATGGACCTCATTCCTTATGGAATTTGGGAATTATTTTCGCACATGCTATGAACAGGTTAAAGGTCAAGGTCACAAGATAAAAAAATCTCAGCACCGAGTTTATGGCTATCCTTTCTCAGAAAGTATAAATGCTTTAGACTACACCTTACGCCCTGCCTTTTAAACGTTCATTTTATCAATTACTGGATTGTCCGGTCCAAGTGCCAAAAGTGTGGCACTTGAAAATACTAGATCAGCATTAGTCATAAATAACTCTTCATCAGAGGTGGAAGTGAGCAAGGAAAAGATCCAGCACCATGTCTGTTGATAGAGATATGGGGTGTCTGGGTACCATTACTGTACTTGGTAGCAGTTGTTGTTCTTACAAACATCCCATCACCAGCTGAAGAGGGGGAAACTGTTGATAAATTGAAAATTGAAATCACATTTTGTAATTCACTTTACTCAGGGTGATATCTGCACTCAACCATTCCCATGCTTAGTTAACAAATGTCTTTTTTACACTCTTTGAAATATTTACAAAGTGCAAGTAAAATATTGACAGGTGTTTGGTGATAAACCGTTGTGCTATGGTTGAAGGAGAAATGTGCACCAATTGTTGTTGTAAGACGTAAACATGTCACACACAACAATCTCACATGCTTGAAACTAATACAAACACTTGTGAATGCTGGGTAAACCCTGTCTTTCATCACTGATAAACTCCAATTTGAAATGTACACATTAAAACATGATGCCAAATCTAATTACATGTACAAGCATCTCGTTTTCAAATTTGGTGAAACTGACCAGTTTTATTTGAAATGAGCCACATTTCAGACGTGTATATCAATTATGAAGATTATTTTTAAAGTGTTGAACCTATGACTCAGATGTTTATCCAAGGACATGACAATTCAATTACGTGTTACATCTGTAGTTGCCACTCATATCATGCCACTTGTTTGATAACAGCTGTTATTGCATCTTGAATGAAATGTGAGATGATATATGACACTTGATGCTTTGATCATGCACAAGCATGTTTATGTTATGTAAGATATTCCTGAAAATACAGACTCTTAAATTGGTGGGGTAAAAAGCAATATGCAATCTCAATTTCAGTTTAGATTTGATTAATGTTCTCCAATGACTTTCTGGCATCCAATACTGATGTAGCTGTGCAGATGAGCTGTGGGATCTTATGCATGTACGATTCTTACTGTGATCTTAAAAAATATAGTTTGACTAATTTTAAGAAATGGAACTGACCCTTTTGAAAGTGAAAAGTGTCCTGGAAATTTTAGTGTGGGAATGGGTTGAGTTAGCATATGACAGTTTACTCTTTGAAAATGTACTACTCAACACCCGATTCTTTCATATTATTGTAGTTTCATACTATGAAAGATTAACTATAGTAATATGAGAGAGTCAGCTGCTCTTCACCTTCTTTTGAGTAGAGGAATGGTGTTGGATCATGTGGATCAATGGTCCATTTGAACTTATATGACATGGCTGGTTGTGCCATCATTGAGCTTGTTGTGCCTCACTGTCTGTAAACAAATGGGACATGGGGAAGCACACCGAAGAACTGGGTTCAATTCCTAACATAGGTACAATGAGTGAAGTCCATTTCTGTTGTACCCCGCTATGATTTTGCTGAAATATTGCTAAAAACAGACTAAAACCATACACTCACTCACTCACTCACTCACTCACTCACTCACTCACTCACTCACTCACTCCAATGCATACCAATAATCTGATAAATTACAATGTTTTTAAATTGAGAATATTAACATGTATGAAATGTTTACTATTCTTCACAGAGACTATTTGCCCAAGAACATGAGAAGGAAGAACCTACTGTGAATGATGATATTAACTAAAGTTTCAAGTTAAGTCAACATATCATGATTGGTATTTGGCTTGGGCAATATGATGTGAAAATATTTTTCCTTATGTCCTGCTATTACTATTATCATTTCCTTTTATTAATTGTGCAGAAATTATTTGACATAGATCTAAATTAATCACATTCTTTCTTATTATTGTTTATGTGGAATTCTGTTTGACATTTTCATCACACACCTGCCTGAATGCTAGATCACTGAATAGTATAAATCATACTGTATCGAGCATCATGTTACATCAAGTTCAATTCATTTTTGTAAAATGTCATTTAAAAACTTGTAGCCAAATCCATATGTAGATATTAATGTGATGCATTTTTTTTTTACATTTTGCCTTTGCGTGTGTTTGTGATAGGTACCACATGTGGGGCAGGATACGCACACTTTTTCACAAACACCTGGTATCAGCACTATTTAATAGTGATTGATAAACACATGCTCATGATACATAATGTAGTTGGAATAATACAATGGTCTCAGCTTTTTAACATAGATTACATATGAATATGGTAAGGGTTCTGATGCCTTTTATTTAAGAATTCACTCCTTTATTTAATGTATTGAAAGTGATTAAAATTCCTTTAAAAAAAGCCTGTTATAGTGTCAATTAACCAAGCACATTCTTGTTAAGATCTAAAAATAAGGATCATTCTGACAGCAAACATGCAGGTCAAAGCTAAGAGATTTGAAGAATTCTAACAATGTGTCGAGTTAAGTGATGAGCCCACACCTCCCACCCCCTAGGTTGTACATGCTTGTCCTACAGTCCCGCTACTTTAACAATGTGCCCACCGTGCCATACAATGTGTTTGACTCTGAACTATGGTATTTTGTTCAAAGCCAATTTTGGAAGTGGATGAAAGAGGTATGAGAGTGGGTTTAGACATACAGGCATCATATATTTCATTAGATGGCTGGGTTGTCCCCTAATGTGTTGCTTTTTATCAGAACAAATTAGAGTGAATAACTGTATAATAGCATCTACTGCTCTGGTCCTAATTCATGACAGTTTAAAAGTTTTTCAGTCGGGGATGGTTAGCTGTCGGTCGGTCTAGCTTTGTTATGGCTGTCAGGTTGATAGACAGAACAGGTTTTTTTCTTTGATGTGTTTCCATTTAAAATGTTTTGCTTCAGGGTACCTTGTTTTAAAAAGAATGTAATGGACACTTATGGTAGATGGAATGTTTTGATACTTGTAGCATGCTTTTTCTTTTCAATTATTAATCAACTGACAGTGATAATAAATGTTCCCTATGCACAGTAGCTAAAATTAAAGATAAACATATTAACATTGGATGACATTTAATCAGATTATATGTTTATGGAACTATCAAGTACTTGAACTGCCAGGCAAAAGAAAGTATACTCTTAAAAATTGGATTTAACCAAAAATGTACAAATGTTATAAAACATTACAAGGCTGAAAACAGTCACCGAAACACTGCAAACTCCAGGTCCAACATAATAACTATGACACATGAAATACATCACCATTGTAAGCACTT